TAACATGATGATGCATCCTAAAAACCGCTCGGAATTGGAGCAAATCAATTAAGCGTCCAATCCGCTGTATATTCGCCTTAATCATAACTATGCTTGTCGGTTCAGCGATGTTGAGGCAGATATAGAATAAGTGGCATTCTTTGCCGAAAGATTACAGTATTTTGTTAAACGGCTAAGGAAAGTAAAATTACAATGGACATTTACAGCTCTTGAGCTGCATACGTAAATAGAACCGCGGTGAATCGGCACCGCAAATTCGTATCTTGTTGAGAACCTTGCTTACCCCAGGCTATCATCATTGCCATCGATGAGTGCTCCTTCTCAACACCGAAGCTTGTACAGAACTACCTTCAGTCACCTAGGAACCCGAAAACGTTCACAGACTTGGCCACTGTCTCCAAATAAGAGGGGACCTAGTCAATGGACCGAATTTGCATTGGGGTTATTGCTAGTTTTCGTGCCAGCTTAGTTCGCACATTTTGTGCATAAGCATTGTAAGAAGTAACAAATGCCAACACTTACAACTGCACTCTAAAATTTTCGGTTATTGTTGTTGATCTTTGAAAACGCCCTATTGAACCGCTGTTCGCAGATGTGATGGCTTACGCAGCTAACTACTGACCCGCGTGGCATAAGCAGTGGCTACACAACTGCTGCTAATCTATCGGTGATCTTGCCGGAAATATTTCCCTTGAGATTGTGGCAAACGTAAGTTGTGCATTCCCTATGTGCCTCGGACAGTTAGCATGTATCATCATACCGCACGGATTTGCCGCGTCCATTCGCCCGCGCTGGTTTTACGTGCTAGGCACTTGATCAACGACCACCACCTCGACCCATGAGGGTCAAGCCTGCTGCGTCCTTATCAAAATCCTTAACCACCGGCTCACCAAACGCCAACAGAGATACGGGAGTAATCATAATTGCACGCCATGCATCCGTATGTACGTGTAATCAAAGCGTCATTTTTTCAAAGAATCAGGAAAATGCAGCTAATTCATCACTGTCACTCCAAATCAGCAGCCTTAGACTAGTCTGGAAAAGCACCAGATGCCGGGGCTTCGACATTCTGGCTCTCGTCAATGGCGTGCATCCAAGCGGACCCCTGCCGGGTTCCGCCTACATGACTTCAGAATGCCAGCAGCTAGTGCCACTTCAACGTGGGTGACAGCCGCGGACCTGCGTGATTGACAGTTGACTATGATATAGGCCGGCTCATCTTCCACTACCATGCCACTTACGAACTGTGCAGAGGACAATGGCTAGCCTCACGAGCTAGGACTTTCCGCATACCGCCTACGTAACACATAGAACTTAGAAGCTATACGGACATATTTTATAGTACTGATGAGTAGTAGTGAGGATTTTTGGATAATTCAGCTAATTCATCACTGTCACACCAAAGGACCCATGGCGAAGTGGCACTAGCTGCTGGCATCCTGAAGTCATAGGAGCGGAACCCGGCGGGGGTCCACTGGGAGGTGTACCACTGACGACACCCAGAAGGTCGAAACGCTGGCGTCTGGTGTTTTTCCAAACTAACCTAAATCTGCTGATTTGGAGTGACAATGATGAATCAGCTGAATTATAACAAAATCCTCATTATTACTCATCAATTAGGAAAACGTAAACGGATGTGTCGAATCGCATTGCCACATCCCGCAACATTGATCTCACTGGTTGCTGTTCTGGTAATGCGTTCCAGAAACTGCAACCTCCATTCCATTTGCGTCATGAGATTCTGGAGATCGTACTGCATTCACTAGGGCCTTCACCACCTGCCAAACATTTTCGATGGGATTGAGGAATGGGGATTATGGGCTCAGTCTCAGAATGGTAACCCCTTCGTATTCTTCGACTGACACAAGTGCTTCCAAACGTGTGTGACATGCTGCATTGTCACACACTACGGCCACCTGTAGGAGCTGCACTTCCCGCTTCAACTTGCCTAGAATGCCTTGCAGCCATTGGAGAGATAGGGGGCCAGTGAATGAGCCTCTCCGGGTAGTCATCGAAACCTTTCCATCTATTGTGAGTGCGCCGATGATATGCAAATTTAGGCCTCGACTGTTGGCTACTTTGACACAGACTCTCACTCCTCTGGGCGCCCGACCACGAGTACGTTTGCAGTATACGTTGAAGTTTGTTTCGTTGATCCATATGAAGAACTTCGCACTGCTTTCAAGTTCGAGAAACTTTTGAACAAACTCCTTTCGCATCGTTTTATTTCGATCATTGTTCATTCCTTCTGATATTTAATAGGTGTTCTTCATAGTCATCAAACGTCCATCCAGGTGTCGTGCGATTGTAGACTTTGAAGTGTTCTTATCCATATCGGCACGTACTCGGACTCGCATTTCGTGTAGTGTTAAAGTTGCGTCCTTCTCGATCCACTACAGGATGTCATCAATTTCTTCATCCGACAGAATGCGCTTACGACCGCGCGCCTGCGTAGTATCCGGCTTCCGATCAAGAGAGCGACGAATTCAGGAATAAGCAGTTTGATATTTCACATTGTTCACGGTCGCCACGAGCTGCCAGTCGTCACCGTTGACGAAGGCATCTACATCTTGTTCCCGAACGTGTGACGAGATACTCTGTCGTACACGAGAAGGCATGTTGACGACGCTGGAATGAAAGACGAGCTGCCAGGAGTCACCGTTGACAGTCATGTATAAAAATGGAGACGATAATCTGTCGGCATGCAGTTTCAAATTAAAAAGCACAGTCCACAATATCTTCATGGAACTGCAAACCGCAATCACCCGATGTTGTTGGTTTGCGGTTATTAAAACAGTTTCAAGCAGTCGTATGGTATGCACTGCTGTTCCGCGTAGAAGTGACGTCAACTTGCACCACAAGCGTTGCAAATGGAGAAATTTAGCATGGTCGACGTAACGTGTGAAATGGACTCGGCTTCCATTTTTCTGCCTCGGTATAGTAACTTGGTGAATAATGTTATCACTCCGAAGAAATTCAGAAGAATTGACGGTTTCGCGACTACCTCATGAACCCCAAGGCTAATGTTTTCATTATGATAGAGCAAGGCATAGATCAAGTTTAAATCTCAGGTCACGCAGAACTTAACAGACAGTAAAACCGAGCAAACAGAGAACACGAAGCGTTACCTAAGGGTAACTCCGTGTGAAAAACCACACCATCGGATGCGGGATAATGAGGGTTGGTATTAAGGTCACGTACCCCACGGCGGTGCTTATTCGCACGCCTTTGGGTAGTAATATCATTCGCTAGCGTCTAAGCTTCGCTTCAAATCGAGGCGTAAATCGCCGGTGCAAGCTATGATGCTGCTGCGGGTGATAAATAAAGTGAGTCCCGGCCTAATGGAAACTAAATAACTCAAGAACGTTGGAATGACATTGATGTCGTCTGACTTTCTAGAGATTGGAGCCAAGTTATAAGCCAAAAGCATACCAAAGGGGAGAATTTTGAAGGCGACCTGTCAATGTCGTGACTTAAGAGGCGTGACGAAGTTGACTGAAACACTCAGGCTTGTGTACGTCGTTTCTACGGATGAAGAGTTCAACATCGGCCACAGCAGTGGCTAGAGACTTTTTCAGATACGGCGCAGCAGAGAAGTAAATTAGGTTGCTAGAACACGACCACCGAGTTGCAGTTGCTGAACAACGTATCTAAGGATCACATCCAGTCACTGACATTTCATCCATGGTAAACCGCATTACTATAGTGAAGTGCACAATGAACACTCGATCATTTACACTTCGGTGCAAGGATCGCAGTTAGGTAAACCGAACCAAAGAATGAACAAAAAGTTGTTTGATAGGGAACAGTGTCAGTGCAGGAAGAGGGGTCTGGTGAACATAAGACTTTTCCCAACAGGACAAAGATGAAGCTCATTAGTTCAGTACACAGGGGAGAAAACCCATGAAGCGGCAGTCGACCGGATTGGCTAATTCATAAACCAGAGGCATACATTGCTCTATACAGATAAGGAAAGTATACTGCCTCACTTATGTCCATGGCAGGTGCATCTAAGGGTTTTTGTTGAGTCAGAACAGAGTTCACTGGGATTGCTGACAAATATCCGTACGGCAGTCACGAGACCGACGCGCGAAGACAAAGTCAGTTCCGTGCCCCTTGTCGGGCAGAATGAGGGTTAGACGCAGTGCTTTACGTCGCCAATGCCGACGATCGGTGGTATGGGCAAGTAATACACCCACAAGGTGTCTATACAAAACCGAACATAACAATAAGAAAGGGACGAAAAGCGGCCAGGAAAATGACTAGCAGATTGTGCAGAGATTAAGCAACCAGAAAAAAGAAACAGATTTCCATAACGAGGCAAGCGAACGGAGCGGAGTACTGGACGTCTACCCATCTCTGCCTCTATGCGGATTGGTTAACATATGGCTGCGCTGGTGAGTTGGACTGAAGCAAAGGAAGGATCTCAAGAGGGCAGAACCGTCGTTAGTTATAGAAGCGATCTAGTTATATTCGTCGGTTTCCGCCGGCTAGATATGCAAACGTGGTCGATTAGTCCTTTTTCTATGTATTGTGGCACAATAGCTGAGGTGTTTCCCACTTCTAGCTAACGTGTTTGATGATGATGAGTCGAATAAATCGTTTATCCCTGAAGGGCTGAGTTCTGCAACATAGTTTATTTCTTCCGCTGAAGTCTGGTACTAGGTAACTCATCACGATCGCAACAGAAATATTCGGAATTAACAAAGTGGAGCTTATGTAGCGAAAAGAATATAACATTTAAGCTACCAAGAGCAGGACAAATTCAACAATGGGGCATTGTGTTGCGGAACATTGGCGTAGCAATCAATAACAGGGCGACCTGTGCTATACACATGAAAATTTAGCTAGATCCGTGATTTTGTATTAGAAATCGACAAAACCGGGGTAGTTGTAGATGAGGTGGACGAATTTGCAACGCAACAACGCAGTTAATTCAGAGGTGTGACAGACGAGTACCGCAAGCAGTGGGCGCGAGAAAAACAAATGCACAAGCATACCTCAACTTCTTGTCGAAAAGAAGCCAGATTCACTGAGCGACCAACGTTGGGGTACAGTCGAACTGAGACAAGTCCCCGTTTCTCCTTCACACCAACGACCTACGAGGATGCAGAAAGGTATCGCGGATGGGAGTATGCACAAAGGTGTAAACAAAAAAGATCAGCGAAAGGAAAGAACATCGCAAGCGACCAGTATGTGGGTGAGCATAAAAGGGGTGCTTAGGGAAAACAAAATAATAGACACGTGGAGAGGGGAGCGAAGCACAAGGGCCTACGTAATCGAGCAAAGGTGGAAAAGATAACGGGAGAGGGCGAGAGTAGTCGGAGCCAACAGACACCTTGAAGTGAGGGATGGAGCATACTTGCAACACAAGAGACTATTTGTTCATAAGAGTGAGATGCAAACGGGAAGCATTTCAGACCACAGTGGGGTGAGTTCAAGAAGGAAAAATCAGGAGAATCCCAGTAAGAGAGAAAAACGGTGAGTTATCCAGTACCAATAACTTAGCTGTTGGTATCGTATTCGTTGATCCAGTTGAATGCCAAGTGGAAATAAGTAATATTAACCTCTACACCGGTGGGTAATATGGATGCGAAAATGGAGAGGCATAGCATGTGAACTCGCGAGATCGGATGTGTGGGGATGAAAGATAAAGAATCAATTAGGGTTCATCTTACGTAGAGGACAGAAGTACGCTGAAGCATAATGGTCAACTAAATTTCTGGTAGCCGAAAGAGAGGAAAGTATTAGTGGCTGCAGTTAGTCAGTAAAATGGTTACTGTGGACAATGATCAAAGCGCGACCGTAAATCCGTCAGTAAATGTCTATAAACAAATACATTGTAGCACTTGACTTTGAAGTTGGAACCACGGAGTACACGGAGTATACACCATAAGACTGCAACGGAAAGGGCTTGCAGCCTCGACTCGACTCGCGCTGCACTGTCTGTCGGGGCTATGAGAGTTCGGTTGGTGCATTCGGGGCAGCAACCGAGGTGCTCACTAGTTCCTAGTGTCCTTGAACTGACCCCGAGCAATCAACGACGCAAAGGAATTAATGGGGACGAATAGCCAGGGGATGGTGAAAGCGTACAAGTGGGATGCAATAGGTACATCATTACGATGCAACCATTTGGTCTCTTTGGAGAATAAGGTGCTCGAGAGAAACTCGGGCAACACTGATCTACAGTAAAGCAAATATTTCCGTTTCAGTGACCGTAAGTAATACCAAATAAATACTGTACTTAGAATGCTTTACGCGTAAACTACCCAAACGTTTACATACCAGCATCAAATATGGGTTGGGAAATTGATTTCTAAGTTGACTGGGGGATCATTTTTGTGTTACCCGCTTGAAACATTGCACTGAATGACGCGTTAAGATTTTACTTGATCTCAGCAGGTAGAGATAGCGGGCTTAGAACCCAACACACAATTTCCATCTACTCCAGCTACGGTCCTAGTGATTGAATTGACCCAAGGTTCGCTACAATGCAAATCACGGTCCAGTGAGAATGCGCGTCGTAACCCGAGCACACAACGAATATTTCGTAATGGTTATCCAATCAGTCATTAACCGTTGTGCCAAGCGGTGCCCGTCGTGATCCGGTGGCTAAAGTGGTAGAGATTTCAACTGTCATCCCAATGGTCCCAGGTTCGATGCCAGTTATCTCTATCTGATGTGATTGAAACACGTCGTGGAGTGCAGTGTTTTCAGGCGTGAAACACCGAATTTCCATCCGATTTCCAAGCTGTTTGAACAATCAAATCGATAACTTAAGGCTGATAGACAAAGCAAAGATAAAAGTAACACACAAAATCATGCCAATAAACATTAATTGGTTCAGGTAACAAGCAAACGGTTAGGTAACAGTGTCCGTTGGGCAAGGTGTTAGCAACCGAAATATGTATCGTTTTTACACACATAATTTCGGTTCCAAATGGTGGATGTAAAAGGATGTAAGAGGGGTGTTCAAAAAGAAACCCAACTTCTGAAATAGCGAGGCGACCGACAGAGTGAGAGCGCTGCGGCTACTGGGTGCATGTGGAGGCTTGCTTAGACAACTAACTACCATTTGCTGCATTTCGCTCTGATTGTAAATTGGCGAGTTACAGTCGCTGAAGTGAGCACGTTCACAAAGTGTTCATCGGATTAATGCCATTGAGACAATGAGAAAGCATAAAGAACAATGGGTGTGCGTGTGAAATTTTGGCAAGACTTTTATAGAGACACTTCAATTGCTTAGCCAAACATACGGGGAGGACTGTATGAATCGTACGCAGTGAGTGGTTCGTGTTTTGAGCACGGCAGAATGTCGGTGGTGACGATTCCAAGCCTGGACAACCTTCCACATCAACAGAAGACGACCATGCTAAGAGAGTTCGTGCTGAGATTCGTGAAAATCACCGTTTAACTGTTCGAGGAGTTGCTGATGAAGGGGGCATCAGCGTAGGATCATGCTACCAAATTCTAGCGCGTCTGATGGATGCTGTGCACAGGAAGAAGCTTGAACTATGAGAAAACCAGACTTGGATGTTGCATCATTTCAATGCGGAGGCTCACGCACCGCTCCTTGTCCGCAACTATCTAGTAACACATCACACTCCGTTGTGCCCCATCCACCGTATTCTCCGGACCTAGCCTCTGCAGGCTATTTCCTGTTTCCCATATTTCAACCACGTTAAAAGGGCGTCGTTTCCGAACCATGGAGGAGATACAGGACAGTGCGACAACAGAGTTGCGCGTCATCCCAGAAAATGCGTTCCAGGAGGCTTTCCAAAAATGGAAGCACCGTTTGGAACGGTGTATTGCCATTAGGTGGACTAGTTTGAGGGGGAAGTGCTTAAAGTGTTGCGCAATGAGTAACAAAGATGGTATAGCATAAGATCGGTTTCTTTTTGAACATCCATCGTATATAGCCGCGGCACTGGATCGAAGCTACTTGCGGAAACTTTGCTCGAAACATGCGGGCAAGTAGGGGTGTGGCTGTGCAGTCATCCCCAGATGCTGTGTGGCCAAAATCAAAGAGTTTGCCATAATAGAGTTGTTCGAGGATCTCATCTCGCCTTTTTAGAACCAGAATGTGGTGTGCTTGCGAATCCTCTGAGATAGGCGCCTTGCAGTGCGACCCACGTATTGTGTACCACAGGGGCATGAGTGTTGATAAAACAGTACCGAACGAGTCAACGAGGGCAGTCCATTTTTCAAAGGTTTTGCAAACAACGGCTTGCTGTAGAAAACAACCCTCAAGCGGGCCGTAAGATATGTTTTCTTAACAGCACCTTTCAGGCTTTTGTTTGGGATATCAGCAGCCAAATGGCCCTCAAATGTTAAGCACATCAACAGTTTTTTTTTGGAGCAATGCTTTAAGTTGGCTTTCGGTTGCATTCCTTGAAATGTTTCGTGATAAACTTGTCTTGGCAGCCATTTAAGCGCAAAACGTCGCTGACTGTGTGCAATTCTTCAATGACAGTATCCAGTGTGCAAATACTATGCGCCTTGTAAGTAAGAGATCGGACAAAACTCGTACTGACATGGTACTGCACTGTGGAAGTTCATGTATTACCCAGTACATGAGTGCATTCTGAAAAGGAAGGCTGGCGTACCAATCGGGCTCAAGAAATGGGGGAGACAGGAGCAGTAGACAATTACCGCAAGCTCTTCCAGCTGATCCGCATCATTAGTCGAGGAAACAAGGCATCAGTGAGACAATCAGAGACAGCGCAGATGCACAGATATACAGTAAGGAGCACCGTATGGCTTGTTGGGCGGAACACTTTCAAGATCAGTTCAGTTGGCTCCCTGCTCCCGGACATATTCCTACTCAGGTGATGCAGGACGAACCATGGACGGTTAGTTTAGAGGCTCCATCAGAGGCTCAGGTTCGAAACACGAGCACGGCCCCAATCGTTTTTGTGCTGTTGGACCGGATTCCCTGCCACATGCATCATTTAAAGATGGAAGTGGGGTCCTCTGCAAAGCACTGACCTCCCTGTTAGAACAGGACTGGAACAAAGTGACCATCCCGGTAAACTGCGGCGAATCGATTTAGTAAAGATATACAAAAGGGCGGTCGCACAGGCTGTTCTAACCACAGGGGTATTAGCCTCACGCCAGTGGTGACAAAATTACTGGCCACAATTCTCGTATGTCGCCTCATTGTGGAACGGAAATCTCGGATTGGGGAAGAGCAGACAGGCTTCCGCCTTGGATGTGGCTGTATAGACCATATATTCAGTCGGCGGAAGGTGCTAGAGCAGCGCCACGCATATCGCAGACCGACAATAGCTGCGTTCCACGATTTCAAGAGCGCGATCGATGAATTCTGTTCGAAATACTTGCACGGAAAGGTGTTCCAACGAAATATGGGAACATCTCACGTGCTCTATACTCGAACACTACAGGCCGTGTCATGGTCTACGGTGATCTGTCGGATAGCTTTCCGACAACAAGTGGCGTTCGTCAGTGTTATGTGCCTGGTTCACCCAGCCACGTCAGCAGAAAGAACTCGCACTGGGTCTGCACACAAACGCTGTATTCTCAACTGTGAGGTAAAGTGCAAATAGCCGGTTGTTTAAAAACTCGCTCGTCTGTCCGTTCAATCGATCGACCGCACTGAGACAGGCGATTCCTTTCACCCCAGCTTTTAGTCACCAGCACAGTCAGGGTTGTCCAATTGCCCCATTTTTATTCAACTTCGTCGTGGACTCAGTCATGGAGTACTCCCTTGCGGAGCTTCCCGATGCAGGCGTTGAGGTGCTGCCTGGCGAAAAGCTAGCTGATCATGATTATGCGGACGATATTGTCCTGCTTTTTAACGATGTTGGGGCGACCCAGTCAACCCTGAATAACCTGTCTAGAGTGGTCCAATTATTTGGCATGCACTTCGCACCGTCAAAGTGCAAAGTACTGTTACAGGACCACCAGCCAGGTGATCGCCCCTTGACCCTTGCTAACGAGGTACTCGAGGTAGTTAATCACTTCACCTACCTAGGCAGGTACATCAGCAAGGATGGGGGCATAGCAACTGAAGTCAGTTCACGCATTGTAAAAGCCAGAACTTTCTTCTTGACTCTGTGGCATGTTTGGCGACAGAAGG